GGTAGTTGTTATTGTTGTAGTAACATATTTTTAATAAAATAGTGATAGCAGTAATACATATTTTCAATAAAACTTGACCTATATATTACTGAATTTAATATTTCTAAAATGCTAAGTAGTACTTTATATGTTTACTGAAGATGCTTTTTCTGAATTTTAGTAACCTTAATAATTAACAACCACTTTTCAGGGTTTCTCAAGAACTGAATGAGATAATGCATGCAAATATTAGCTTACTAGTTGAATGAGCACCTGAGATTTGCAGTAGAACATGAGTTATAACTTGTCTTTGCTGTTTCTAAAATTCGAAGGAAGATGATATATACTTATTGAAGTTAATCTCAGAAATATTAAGTTATTCCACTTAACAATTCTTTGTATGCCTTTTGTTTGTATTGAATAAAATAAAGTGTAAAATAGTAATAATAAATAATACTAAAGTGAAAGTATATAGCGATTAGAAAATTCTTGGCATAGGGTGTAACAAATAAGAAACATTCAGTAAGCAGTAGCTATTATTGCAATTACTGTTACTGATACCTAGTATTTTCAGTGGTAATTCATTTCCAGTTTTCTTCTTTAGCCAAATCAAGAATTCCAAAAATATCAAAGAGTGCCCCATTATATTGGCTAAATTTACTTAACTTTTCTGAAATTAACTTCACCAAATAACACTTTTATAAAAATGAATGAGCTAATGCATTTAAGGTGTTTTATTGCTGGTATCACTGAAGTTTATACTTAACTGACATTATAATAATAAATGAATTACTATTGGTTGAATTAAAAAACACTAAGAAAGGCATTACACATTTGCTAGATTAACTCTTCAGAGCCTAAGTAATTTCACCCATCAACACAGAACAGCAGTTTTCAAACTGTTTGGTGACAGGAGCCTTTTTATATACTTTGAAATACTTAATTCCAAAGAGCTTTTGTTTATGTGGGTTGTATCTACTGATATTTATGATATTAGAAATTAAAACTGAAAAATGCTGAAAAATTTGATGAGTCATTTCATTTTAAGTAACAATAATAAGCACATTTAATGTCGTGAGTAACATATTTTTATGAAAGTTAACTATAATTTCAAAAACGTGGAGAGAAGACAAATGAGGGCTACTTTGTTCCCAGTTCAGACGGATCTCGATTAACTATTTCATCTCTGAAGCCCACTACTGCCAGGAGTGCCACCTTTGATATTCCTTGTCCAAATGATATTGACATTTATCCCAACCATTGTCCATTTAAACTTTCAACTAATATATATGGCCGTATTCCTGAAGGGACAGTCGGACTGTTGTTGGACCGAAGTAGTTTAACTATGAAAGGGGTGACTATACATACTGGAGTAATTGACTCTGACTATAAAGAGGAATTGAACCTTATGGTCTCTGTCTCTACTCCTTGGTCTTTTAAAAAGGGAGAGCATTGCTCAATTGTTGCTGTTGCCTTACATTGGTATTTCTAAATCTTCTAATGTGAGGCACGGGGGATTTGGCAGTATAATAAACAAATTAATTATTCAACATTAATACAAGAACAAAATCGACCTTTGTACACTTTAAAAATTAATGGAAAAACTTTTGCTGGTTTGTTAGATTCTGGATCTGATATTTCTACTATTTCTTCAGATCAGTGGCCTCATACTTGGCCCACTAAAGATGCTGATTTTTCTATACAAGGAGTAGGCACTATGACAATATCACAGTTACAACAAAATGCACAAAAACTTAAATGTGAAGGTCCTGAAGGTTCACAGACCATTCTTCAACCATATATCTCCCCAATTCCTATGAATTTATGGGGCCGAGATCTCTTATAACACTGGAATGCTGAAATTTATATTCCCACTACATATTCTGAGCAATCTTTACAAATGATGAAAAGAATGAGATATGTTCCTGGGAAAGGTTTAGGGAAAAATTTACAAGGACAATCTGATATCATTACACCAAATATTAAATATGATTGCCAGGGACTGGGTTTTTCTTAGGGGCCACTGAGTTTATAAAGCCTGACCATATTCCCATTCAATGGAAGACAGATTCTCCCATTTGGACTCCTCAGTAGCCCCTGAATAATGAAAAATTACAGGCTTTAAAACAATTAGTTCAAGAACAATTAGAGCACAAACATAGAACCTTCCTTTTCTCCTTGGAATTCCCCAGTGTTTGTTATTAAGAAAAAATCAAGAAAATGGAGACTTCTTATAGATTTAAGAAATTTAAATGCATTTATGGTAATTATGGGAGCTTTACAACATGGATTGCCTACTCCTGCATGTATTCCTAAAGAATGGCCTTTGATTGTTTTAGATTTACAAGATTGCTTTTATACTATATCTATACATCCCAAAGATAGGGAAAGGTTTGCATTTTCCGTTCCTAGCTTAAATCAGCAAGAACCTTTACAGAGATATCAATGGACAGTGCTGCCACAGGGTATGACTAATTCCCCCACTATGTGTCAGTACTTTGTAGGAAAAATATTATGACCTATTAGAGTAACATTTCCTGATGCATCTATCATCCACTATATGGATGACATTTTAATTTCTCATGCATGTTCTAAACAATTACATAAAATTTTTGAAGACAAGCATTATTTTATAGGCTTGAAAGTCTTGTTAATGTCTAATTTGATACAAAGACAGCTGAATTTGCACATATGCATCTAAATTCCACTTAATGTGATACATTATTTTCATTGAAATTTGTGAAAAGAAGTTTTAAAGACAAAAAACTTGGGGAAAGGGGAAACTAAAATACACTTTAAAAGAGTCTTGAAGCCCCCCAGTATCCTTTAACCACATTTTGAAAACTGCTGACACTACCTTTTAACTGTTTAAAGTATTGAATAAGATAGACTTTTTGGGATACATTGCTATTAATGCTGTTTCGGTTGTCATTATTATTACTTATAATCTGATATTGTTCAAAAGTTGAATTTCTTCTTGTTTGTTGACAGCATTCATGGTTTCTAAACACAAAATTTATAACAGTACAGATAAGCTACTTCATCAAACAATATCTGTTGTATAGAGTTTTTAACCAAATTAAAATATCATATTTTAAATCTATGTTGTCCATGATGTATATGGCTCGGTGTCTGGAACAGAAGATCAACTCAATAAACGACAACTACTAGAATCACCTTTTCCTCAATGTACCTAAAAGTATACAAATAAATGCCAGAAATAAAATTGGCCTCACATATCCAACAATGGCTTCAGCTCATTTACAATGACTCTACTCTCTTGACAAGCCCACTTCTAGACACAAGAGTCCTTTGGAACACCTAAAAACTAAAGTGCAGTAGTCATAGTTTTTGCTCAAATTTCAATTGTGTCGTGAATACTTTTAAAAATTTGTTTGTTTGCATCACAAGCTCAAGCAGGTCCACATATTATAATATGTTAATAATTATAATAAATCAATGAGTCTTTTTAAGAATGTCTTGATTTGTAGGTTCTCCCACCACCTTTGACTCATATACAAAAAAATTAAGAATCCATTTATGACTTTTTGAATATAAATTCTAATACTAGCTGGCAGCTTTCTTTCCCACCCTTTTTTAACTCAAGAAATATAATCTATGTAGTTCTGCTGTATTCTACATTCCCAAGTACCTCTTGAAATTTTTTCATGTCATTAAACTTGGTGAAAAATTACCTTCTCTCTTCACCTCTGACACTTGCCACTCTTCCCAGGCAGGATTCAAAGGTCTTCTCTCTAGGACAGGGCAATGCATAGTCTGAGAAGACTTTCTGAATGACATGCTTTAATTCAGAGTTGCAGGTAAGCCTGAACCAGTGCCTAAATGTGTCACATCTGTTACATTTGCTGCTGCTTCCCACACTGTCACGTGCCCTTTCTGCAGAATAAAGCCCATCATATTAGAAATTCAATGTCTGAGGAAAAAGGCTTAGATATCATTTTGCAAAAATTCTTCCTCATATCTTCCCAGGGATTAGACATCAGTCAACATCTTCAGCAAGCTCTAGCAAGAAAACATTGACGAATTCTTCCCTCTTGACCAAACACTGTGTATCTGACTCAAAATGCTAAACCAACAAGTAGGGCCTTTCTGTGTCAGGCTCTTCATGGTTCCTTGTGTACTCCCTAAAACCAACAACAATCTTTACCTCTCTACCACTTCTGTCTCCTCTCCCAGTTCACTATGTGGATACCCCCAAGCCCAAGAGTCCTAATAATCTCTGATAGAATCCTACAAATGCAATCTGAATTTGCCCAGGCTTCAACTTCTTGTGGACATGAGAGTGGACAAATTAACATTAAAAAACAAAAATGTTCAGAATTTCCACATAATATCTCTCTCAACTCAGCATTTGTCTCCTTTCTTCTCCTCTTCCCTCCCCTTTCCTCCTCTCCACTCTCTTCTCTCGTTTATATCTCTCCTGCTCAGCTGTATCTTCAGCTTCATTCTGTCTCTTGACCTTGAAACAATGTTACCTATGCCCAGAGACTCAAAAAAAAAAAAAAAAAGAAAAGAAAAACCTTGTTAAAAACAGAATTATTTCATTTTTTGCTTATAGATTATTTTTGTATAATAGTCTGACACAATCCAGCCAGCCCTCATAGGCTACTATTACTGTTATAGGTGGTATACATACCATTTTTATTGAATTTGAAAGACCATATGCTAAAAAATGAATAGTTGGCTTTAGTAAATCACTGAGGACAAGTGTGAATTTTTTGCTTTGATTCAACAAATTTTTAGTGAGTGCCTTCTATGAGCCAAAACAGTTCTAGAGACTGGAAATATAAGGAAACAGACTCAATCCATTCTTGGACACAAGCATATCTCTAATAGCTTATCTCAATAATGGTGATTCATGCCTTTTACAGAAATTTTGTGAGGGTTGGGGGAAGCAATCTATCAAATTTCTATCATTTCATGTGACTTTCAATTATGCTGTGAATAGCTTTCAACAAACATCAAGTCTCAAATTCTTTCAATAAAATGCAAGTAACTGAATGTTTGCCATTGTACAAATACACTCAATCCTTCCAAATGCCCTAACAATATCTCACATTTTTGTTCTTTCAGGTGTATCAGTTCCTATCCCAGTGATCGGACTGAGGGATGAAGACAAAGTGTTCGTCAACAACACCACGTGCGTGCTCAACGACCCAAATTTCGTTCTCATTGGGTCCTTCGTGGCGTTCTTCATACCGCTGACGATCATGGTGATCACCTATTGCCTGACGATCTACGTTCTGCGTCGACAAGCTCAGATGTTACTGCAGGGTCGCACCGAGGAACCACCCGGAATAAGTCTGAATTTTCTGAAGTGCTGCAAGAAGAACACCGCTGATGAAGAGAACCCCGCAAATCCGAACCAAGATCTGAACCCACGCCGAAAGAAGAAGAAAGACAAACGTCCTAGGGGCACCATGCAGGCCATCAATAATGAAAGGAAGGCTTCGAAAGTCCTTGGCATTGTTTTCTTTGTGTTTCTGATCATGTGGTGCCCGTTTTTCATTACCAATATTCTGTCTGTTCTTTGCGGGAAGGCCTGTAACCAAAAGCTCATGGAAAAGCTTCTGAATGTATTTGTTTGGATTGGCTATGTTTGTTCAGGAATTAATCCTCTGGTGTACACTCTCTTCAACAAAATTTACCGGAGGGCTTTCTCTAACTATCTGCGCTGCAATTATAAGCCAGACAAAAAGCCCCCAGTCAGACAGATTCCTAGGGTTGCTGCCACTGCTTTGTCTGGGAGGGAGCTTAACGTTAACATTTACCGGCATACCAATGAACCTGTGATCAGGAAGGCAAATGACAGCGAGCCTGGTATAGAGATGCAGGTTGAGAATTTAGAGCTACCAGAAAATCCCTCCAATGTGGTTAGCGAAAGGATTAGTAGTGTGTGAGAAAGAGCAGCACATTTGGCCTACAGTGAAGTTACACATGTAGGAAAATTTTCTTCTTTAGTTTTCCTGTTGGTCAAAACTAATGTAAATATTGCTGTGTGGGAAAAAAAAAGTGTTTTTATATATAGCTTTGCAACCCTGTACTTTACAATCATGTGTGCAATAGTGAGATTTAGGGTTCTATATTTACTGTTTATAATAGATGGATACTATAATAGATGGATACTAAGTTATTTTGATTCTTTGATGAATAAAGTGTTTGTGGTTCTCTTTCCCTTCCTTCTTTCCTTCCTTTCTGCCTTCCTTCCTTCCTTCCTTCTTTCCTCTTTTTCTCTGCTTCTTTTGTTCACATGAAAATATTTATGCTCATCTCAGGTGGCATTTGCGGAAGACCAGAATGATGCACGTGACAGTGGTTCTATTTCAAACCACACGTAAATCAACCAATGTAAATATGTTTTCCAGGTTAACAGTAAATATGTACTTTAAATTCTCGCTCTTCTCATTTACACACATAAATGCAGTAAGATAGGTCCTGCCTTGTGAAAAAACATCCATCCATGAGTCAAAGGCAGAATTCAGCCTTGTTGTTACATATAGGGGAAAAATTTGACATTGTCAGAATGTTATGTTGGTGTTTTGCTGCAATATCTGTCCCCAAACATAGTGGTATTTTAACACAGCAGCTAGTTAACCAAGACTACAGAAGTGGAAGGATGACAAAGAGATATATACTCCAAATAGCTTTTCACTTCTTAAGGACAATGTATGACAAACAAAACTGAAATTAGTGTCTTCATTCTGGTCCTTAGTAAATAATTCCTAATTCCATGACTAAACTGGGAAATCAGATCCCAGAGTTATTTCCCAATCCAGGATTCCACATCAATTGGGTTTTGATCTCAGAATTCTGGAAATTCGTGTGCTACACACAAAGTGAAATTAGCATTTTGAGCCTTATTCAAATATTTTCTTAATTATGGTACCTCTGTCTATAGGACCTAAATTAGCAGTCCATTTTTAAGTAAAACTTGTATTGGAAGAGTAGTTAACAAAAACCTTGGAAGTTTTACTTGATTAAGGACTACCGAATTAGGCCCTTAGAATGTGAAAAAAAAAAGTAATTCAAAAAACGCTTTTAGTGAACTCCGGGAATAACAGAAATACAGAGTTTCCATTGGGATTGTCAACAAAATTTATCTCATTTTCAGATCCTTCCAAACTCTCTAGTGCAGGAAAAGGCTGCAGCTAATTGTGAAAGTGGCAAGCTCTTCATTGTGCTGTAATTATGTGCCAGAGGTTGTAATCTTTGTTAAAATATAGTGTCGTGTGACAATAAGTGTTGGCCATCATTTCAATTTGTGGGCCCACTGCTGCTCCCTAAGAATTCAGTACCATTTTAATAGGTTGTAAACCACAAGAGGTTTTCAAATATTGCTAAAGTCAGACCATAAATCTATGCTGTGTGCAGAGTATACATGTTTCCAGTGACCGTGTTTCCATCTGTGTCCATTTCACACAACTGTGGATAAATTTCCGAAGAATTCATGATGCTATTTCTTATGCCTGACAGTTATTTACACACCTTGGGGTGTGCCTATTAGTATCTTCGAATTGGTGAATGCTGAATCTGAATTTCTAAAATCCCTGGTCTGTGTTCTCAACACACAGCATAGAAAAATCCAACAGTCTGCCGCAGGGGCAGTGGGAGAATGGCTGTATTTGAAAAAATTCAAAACAGTCTCTATTTGATTTACAACACTGCCAAATTTGTCAGTCAATTGCTTGAGCATGCCCAACTATAATACAAAAGTGAAGTCTACCTGCCTGTTAGATCAGTTGAACTGCATGTTAAACAATTATCTGAAATCGAATGAGATGATCTAATTCTTATTGAAATGAAAATGTCTGAAGAAACACAGCATGCATTTAGCATGAGTGCTACACATACAGAAGGTGCCCTGCATGTACACCACGTTGTTGCATGCATCCATAGATTTGTGTTAATGTAGGGCAGAGTAGCTGATATCAAAAGGACTGAAGAAAATCCTTCAAAGTCTGTGCATTCAGATCTGAAGTGTTGTATTAGAGAAAACTGGAAATATCTGATTTCTTAATTACCAGGGCAAGCTCAGAGCACATGCTTTGCAAAGAAATAAAATAGAAACCACAGATTTCCAAAAGCACTAGCAATAAGTTGGATGATAATAGCTTATAGCACATCTGTTAATAATTCTTATGTCATCAAGTAGTAGAACTTAATAGTACCCAAACACAGTAATTACCCTAAAATTGTGTGCTATTCGTAAGTTCTGTGCTGTTTGGTATGAAACAAATATACTCATTTGGATATAAATCTTACAGTTCAGTGTTAAATCTACAAACTTTTATAAGTGTTTTAAAACAGTCTATGTGATAAATGTAAACGTGGTGAATTTATTGTCAAACAAATCATTTTGATGTACTATTATAGATGTATAACTGTTTAAGACACATGCAACAGACTGCCTTATATTATTTCCTGTAATTCTCCTCCTTTGTCAAATGGTACTTTTTGTGAATGGTTGCAAAGTGTTGTCCTATTCCTAACTCCTGTATGTTATCCACTCCAGGTTTTTGTGATACTTCCTATTAATTTATTAAATTTATTAAATGTTGCCTAAGGTGTCATGTGTCTTTTTTTCCCCCTGAAACTTTCATGGAAAAAAAAAATTTCTCTTTACTCCAGTTTGTTTGAAAATTAAATTGATTCTTATAAAATAAGTGTGCAAAGACAAGTGCCATGAGGAAATATCACTTTCTCTAAATATGTGTGTACTCTAAAAGACTACAACATGAGAGGAATTAAGAGGTGTGGCCAACAAAAACCATATCAAGGATAGCATCACAGATTCCTTATGAGGAGAATAATTGCCTTCCCAAATTATCCTGCCTTCCTTTCCTGAGCAGTAGCTGGGGTGGCTTATATTCCCTCGTTGCTGTAGGTATCATTACACTCTTCTTCCCAAGGACAGAAAAGGACCAAGTCTATCTTGTTGATTATTTTAATCTGCCAACATTTATAGCAGCTACTCTACTCTCAACAGATAAGCACTAAGCATTAATATTTACAAGTATGGTGTTGACTGTGCCTGTTGCCAAAATGAGCCTTACAACTCCTAGATCTTCAGTCGCCTGGTGTAGCACAGTCACCTTAATTTACCTCTTATCTCAGATAGATTCAGACACCTGTGAAATCATCAGAGCCACCATACTAAGCAATTCTGTTCCTCTGTACCTGGAGCCAGGGATGACAACATACATTGGTTTCTTCTTCCATTATACATACTTTTCTTGTAGTCAGTGAACTGAGACAATGCTGGCCTTACTTCAGTTGCCTGAGAAAGGTGTGTCAATACCTCAATCTTTTGCAACTTAAGTAGGGTGGTTCATAGAAGGGTCAAGAGATAAAGGGTAAACTGCTACTTGAAACAATAGGGTCACTTACTGTGCATGGCCAGAAATTTCTTGTACCACAGAAGCTAGAGGCTGCTCATGCCTAATACTGAGGCAATGAGAAAGCCTGAAGTTTCTTAGTGGCCCAGTACCAGAGTCACTGCTTCCTGTGAAAGGAGAAGTAGGCAGGAGAACATGGAAGCACCTCAGTCAGTAACCCTGAAAGGCCTTGAGGAGAGAGAGAACGAGAGCTGCTTCTTGCTTTCAAGGAACAGTAGGTTTCTCATATCCACAGTTTCCTATTGCATCCAGTACAATTTCCAAAGCTGGGGCCCATTTCTCCATGTATATGTTTACATATCACTGAGACAGTTGAATATGTTAGAAAGAGGTACTTTTGTACACCCACAGGAGTAGGTGGCATCATAGTGTTTCTCAAATATGTGACCTATAGCACACTTACACAATCAATAGCTCTAAGGCATAGGTTGAGTTCTCTCTGTGGTATAAATTCTGAGCTGGCAATAAGTGTATAGGATGTCTATGAGGGAGTGGTCTTGGGATCCTTATGCCTGGAGGAAGGGAAGAAAGTAGGACAGTGCTTCAGGTACAATAAAGATTTGTTCCCCTTACATCTTTAGAGAGGAAGATAAAACAACACCTCATTTTCTTTGAAAATTAAACTGAATCCTGTAGTTGGACACCGGTGGCTCACGCTTTTAATCCTAGCCACGTGGGAGGCTGCGATTGGGAGGGCCATGTGTCCGGCCCAGCCCAGGCAAAAAAAAAAGTTTGTAAGACTCAACAGAAAAAACCTGGGTGTGGTGCCACACACTTGTCATCCCAGCGATTGTGGGAAATGTAAATAGGAGGATCATGGTCCAGGCCAGCCTGGCAAAAAATGGGACTCTATCTCTAAAATAACCAGACCAAAAAGGGATGGAGATGTGGCTCAATAGGTAGAGTGCCTGCCTAGTAAGCACAAAGCCTTGAATTCAAACCCCAGTACCACCAAAAGAATATTGAATCCTTTACAAAGACAAACATACTACCAGATACCACTCTCCACATTCCCCGACTAATTACATATTCAAAGGTTATAATGTCAGAAGTAAGATGATTAAAAGATAAGACAACAAAAACAGTATCACATTTGGCTGGTCCCCATGGGAAGCTGTGAATTTAAGATAGCCCTTCAGAGTTGTTCCAGGTTGGGGTTGGGGGCGGGGTGGCAGGCCTCTACACTTCCCCTGCCCTTAAGAGAGAAGTATGACCTTATGCCAGTCTGCTTTCTACAACAGTGATTCCCAAAAAAGACTTGAGTTATACCTGAGAGCTGTCAGCCCACCATCATCTCAAGCCCCTAGCCAAAAGGGCAGATTTAGCAGACTAGCACAGCCTCCATGAGAAACAAGAGATTTATTGGGTAAAAAAAGATTTCACCGCTACTAAAATTTGTATTTTATAACACTTCACTTCTGCCAACAAATGTGTAGGGTTTCACACCAAACAATTCTCTGCAGACAACAACTGAGTGTCCTGCAATTTAATTCAATTCTCTGGAC